AGTTTTTTTTTTTAATTTTATTTTTTAAAAACATATATTTTTATCTCCAGGGGTACAGGTCTGTGAATCGCCAGGTTTACACACTTCATAGCACTCACCATAGCACATACCCTCTCCAATGTCCATAACCCCACCCCCCCAACCCCCCTCCCCCCAACAACCCTCTGTTTTGTGAGATTAAGAGTCACTTATGGTTTGTCTGTTAACCAGTTTTTAAGGGTTATGTATTTCATGGACTACCTGAACCAGCTTTTCATTTCTCTAGTGTTAGACAACTATACTATATTCAATTTATTTTGTTATAAATTACACATGAAGATATTATAGTCCCGAAATTATATGATTTGCTTAACAGTATCATTCAGTTTCCTTTTTTAAGATATTTATTTTTAAGTAATCTCTACACCCAATGTGGGGGTCGAACTCACAACCCTGAGATCTAGAGTCACATGCTCTACCAAATGAGCCAGCCAGGCTCACCAGCATTCTAAGCAAAATGTAATTGTGAAAGTAAATAATAAAAGATTTTGAGGTTGTAAAGAGATATGGTAAATCTCAAAGCCAAGTAGAAGTGTTTCCGGTTCTATTTTGGGGTTATCTGCTCTCATGAGAAACTAAGAGTTGACAGTTTGTGAGCAGCACCGTTACCCTCTGCCAGAAAGGAGGACGGCATTTAGATACTCAGGTCCATTCGTCGCAGGTTTCATTCCTGATACTTCCTGGTAGACAGTGGATAGGATAGAAACCCTTATCAAATAACTGTGAGAGGTGGCAGGAGTGGGAGGGTGGTGGGGGGAGGAGAGCAATTTCTGTCTATCCTGGGTCCCAAAAAGTGTGGCATTGTGTCACTGGCTACTCTGAGAACTGCCAGTATCTAGGACAAAGGTAACTCTCCTACTTGCAACTCTTTCCTTCTAAGAGAAGGACCTAAAGAACAAGTGCTTAACAACAGAGTTTGCGTGTATTCAAGTAATGCAGGAATATTCACATTTTCCTTCTTAACGGTTAATCTCTATTGTCTGGGTGTTTATTCCCATCACGGTGAGATAGAAATATTTACTTCATTTCTCATTTCTTTTCTCTCAGTTTAAAGAGATAATACTTCAGTGAGCTCATTCCTGACCTAATGGCTAATTCACAGTAAGTGTTAGTGGAGGAAGTCTTACTGCTTTCATTTTTTTCTCAGTATCTCTTCCGATTCTGACTTTCAAGAGCCTAAGTCTATTTCAAGTATCTTTCAATCCCCACTTGTTAAAACACCTGGCATTTAAATTTTTCAAGTAATTTGGATAATTGGACTCTCTTGGAACCTAAAGCTGCTACCTTTTAAGAAAAATAATGTCCCCTTACAATACTGTATATGAATTCTCAAAACTAAAACTAATAAAATCTGAATTTTTTTCCTAGATGCTGTCCAGTTCCAACAATGAATTTATCCTGGAATTGGACCTCCTAAAATAAATATGTGTGAGTGACTTGTCAGACATCAGAAAGGCTCCTCTCCTACTTCTTAGTGGGCTCTGACTGATTCTTAAGTTTTCTGAACACCAACATTTGTGTTACAACTTATGTCAGCTGGCACTGCATCTCCAGCTCATTCTCCTCTTACCATGTAACTAGAAAATCAGTTCAGTGAAAGTAGATCCTGTTAGCATTACTGGTTTATCTGGTATGTTGGCCTGTTAAATACTGTTGATTACTTTATTACAGGTCAGATTTGATAACTGCCTTCAGCTGCCCTAGAAAATGGAGTGGATATTAAGTAATTATTGGTGAAAAGTTTCATTGCTATAGCGACAAAGAAACACTTCTAGAGTCTGTGAGTCCAGCTTTCTCTCTCTCTTTTTTTTTTTTAAGATTTTATTTATTTATTTGACAGACAGATCACAAGTAGGCAGAGAGGCAGGCAGACAGAGAGGAGAAAGCAGGCTCCCCTCGGAAAAGAGAGTCCAATGTGGGGCTCGATCCCAGGACACTGGGATCATGACCTGAACTGAAGGCAGAGGCTTTAACCCACTGAGCCACCCAGGCGCCCCCAGCTTTCTCTTTTGAAAGCAAATGTCTTTCTGATTATAGGAGCTCAAAAATTGCACACCCATCAATGGAGCACACTCTTCACATTCATGCAGTATCTCCTTCAACTGCTCATTCAAGAAAGTATTTTCACTTACATTCAAAGCAGCCTCCCAGGTCCAAAGACAGTAATTGCTCCCTTCCATCTTACCTTGATTTTGGCCTACTAGTCTATCTTCTATCTGGGCCAGCACTAAGGTAATGAGGGTTTCTATAAATAATTCAATGATCTTCATAAAGCTTTCTGACAGGATTTGATTAACAGTGCCAATTTCCCCCATAGATTACAAACCCTTCTGATAATACTCCATTATATCTCTTAAGGTATTTATACAAAATATTTCCGCAGATTAAAGAAAAACCAATAAAATACACAGCCACATCATAGATATGGTATGGCATTGATTTATGAACCTCAGACAAAATTCTGTTACTCAAATTAATCTGACCTATTATTATCACCGTACTTTTTAATTTTTTTAAAAAGATTTTTTATTTGGGTGCCTGGGTGGCTCAGGTCACGGTCTCAGGGTCCTTGGATTGAGGCCCACATCGGGATCTCTCTGTTCAGCAGGGAGCCTGCGACCCACCCCCCTGCCTGCTTCTCTGCCTACTCGTGATCTCTCTCGGTCAAATAACTAAATAAAATCTTAAAAAAAAAAAAAAGAAAAGAAAGTGAAGAACATCTCTTAAAAAAATAAATAAATAAATAAAGATTTCTTATTTATTTACTTAGAGAGAGAGAGCTGGAGCAGGATGAGGGGCAAAGGGAGCAGGGACTCTGAATCATGACCTGAGCTGACAGCAGATGCTTAACCAACTGGGCCACCCATGTGCCCCTAATATCACCATTCTTTAAAGGTATCTTATCATTCTGAGGGGGAAAGAAAACCTGCTGCAAAATCAAATATACATTGAAAATTAGTTGTTGTTGTTGTTTTTTAAATTTATTTATTTGTCAGAGAGAGAGAGCGAGCGAGCACAAGCAGGCAGAGTGGCAGGCAAAGGCAGAGGGAGAAGCAGGCTCCCTGCTGAGCAAGGGGCCAGAAATAGGACTCAATCCTAGAGCCCTGGGATCATGACCTGAGCAAAAGGCAGCTGCTTAACCTACTGAGCCACCCAGGCGTCCCTGAAAATTAGTTTTATCAGAAAGAAAGAGGGGCGCCTGGGTGGCTCAGTGGGTTAAGCCGCTGCCTTTGGCTCAGGTCATGATCTCAGAGTCCTGGGATTGAGCCCAGCATCAGGCTCTCTGTTCAGCAGGGAGCCTGCTTCCTCCTCTCTCTCTGCCTGCCTCTCTGCCTGCTTGTGATCTCTCTCTGTCAAATAAATAAATAAAATCTTTAAAAAAAAAAAAAAAGAAAGAAAGAAAGGAAGGAAGGAAGGAAGAAAGAAAGAAAGAAAGAAAGGGAGGGAGGAAGAAGGAAAGAGGAAGGAAGGAAATTAGTTTTATCAAGCTAGTAAGAAGTTGATTTTATTGATTAGAATCAGGGACCATCTTTTTAAAAATTATACACTTCTTTTTACCATATTACAAATCTTTGTCTTTTTTTTTTGGTGGGGGGGGGTTGTCATTCCTAATCCTGCTACTAGCGGATCCTACTAATACTACAGCAATTTTCCTAGCAAATAAAAATAACTGATCAGACCCAGATCGATCATTCCACAGGAAAAGTAGAGCAACCAGGTGGTAAGAGAAAACCTGACAACAAAATTTTTATCCGTAAAATGGGGAGCCCACCAACAGAACTGTCTTGCTGAAAATTTTCACCTCTTAGTCCAGTCTTTAAATTCCTAGTCCAAAACCAGTACTTCTCCACATTTTTCTGTAAAATGGATGGCCTTAATTGAAACTCTTTTGTTCCCTGGGTGTACATAGCTTTTCAGAAGAAGAGGAGTTTCCTTATGAAGAATCAATTTAGCTTCCCCAACACTTAAAGACAACCATCTTCTCCATATCTCAGTAACATGTCTTAAGTGTTCTTTCTAATTTAAACAGCTCTTCCCTTCAAGTGAAGGGTCATACACCTTCTGAGACTGTGCCCCAGAGTTTACAAAGGTCTTCCAGGCCGTGCCCCAACTCGGTTCTGGATACTCAAAAGGACACCCACTTTCTTCTATAAGATGGTTTATGTATATATATATCCTTTCTTGCTGTCTAGCCAACGCAGCTTTAAACTTTTCCATTCTTCTCCCATTCTTCAGATTCTGCTGCAGTTTGGGAGGTAAACTCTTCACACAATCATTCACAAGTCCTGATCTCCCCGCCCCCATTTCCTTCCTCCCCATTCATGTGATAACGTCTTGATGGGAACACCTTACCTCACCTTTTGTCTCCGCTAGTCCTTCGGCTTCCTTCCTGAGCTTCGAAGCTAGGCCAGGGCCATTGAGACGTGGCCTGTGGGCATTCGGTGACTGGCAGAGCCACCCGCACTTTCTGGAGTGTCCCTTCTCCTATCTATCACCTGAACCCTCTTTCCTTAAATAAAGATTTACCCTCTAAAAGTCCCATCTCCCTCTGAAAGACGATGGACCAGCGCCCTTTGTCTGAAGCTTCCACACCTCCCATCCTTGTCCACAAAGCGTCAGTCCACACAGGTAGGGTCTGCTCGGGGCAGGACAGGGGAGCCTAGGTTTCCGCGTCCCGTAAAGGGATGAGTTATGGCCGAGGTCCTTCCAGGAGCCAAAATTCTACAATTACACGACCAAATCTATAGGTCCTATTTCTGAGGCTGGGAGGACGAACTCCGGGGCGACCCCCCAACTCGGCGACCGCGCTGGCATTTAGAACGGACCCCTCCAGCCCAGGCTCTGAGCAGCCCCGCCTCCGACCTCGGGCGCCGGGCCCCGGAGGAGGCCCGGTCACGCCCGCTGGCTGCCGCGCCATGCCCTCCTTCATCCTCACCCGCCGCCGCGGGCCCGCCTCTCACCTGGCATGCTGGCATCGCCCGTCCCGCGCTGCACTGGAGACCATGGGTCTAGACCGGTCTCGGCCACCACCCGCCCTCCAAGAGGGAGGCTGGCGGGGACGCGCGGGCCCCGTAGTCCAACGCACAGGCACCGGGTACGCGCCGCCTGGTTTCTAAGGAACCGGGAGCTCTGGAAAGGGAGGGGCGGGACGGCTGAAGGTCTGCGCATGCTCCCTGTCGGGGGTGGACCTGCGCTGGGAGGGGCCGTGATCGGAGATTGCGCATGCTCGCACATTGGGGGCGGAGATTAAGTGGGTTAACCGAGGGGTTAGTCCTTTATTTCCGGCGGTGAAGGCGGCTGGTCGAATGTGCAACAGCCTCTGCTTCTTTAGGGCCCTTCCATCCCACATCAGTTATAAGGAGGTTCTGGGAACTGTAGTGGGCCTTGGTCTGGAGTTAAGGAGGGTCTGGTGTTGGACCCAACGAACTGTTGTTGTAGAACGGTAGTTCTCTTGAACTCGTCGGACTTCTTGGCCTCCTGACTCCTACAATAATGACTCTCTTCTGTTCTCTGGTGTCTGTCTGGGCTTTTCTTCCTCTGCATGTTCTTTGGTTGTTCCTTAAATGTTAATGCACCTACTGTGACCTCAGTCTCTCAGATCTCTTTACTGGAGTCTGTGTCTCCCCAAGTAAATACCATTTTGTAACAAGACTGCTCTTTACTTCACCATTACTCTGCCAGAGTAATGAAACCTGTCACCTATAATCCTTAGCTATGTTAAGTAGGCTATGTAGGAGATGTAGGATTAGGGGTTATTTCGTCAGGGGGAGCCTCTCCTCTGCTATTCTGACTCCTGGTGAGAGTCTGGACCCCCACTCAGCTAGTATTGAAATGGTGTGCCAGCCATCGTTCCAGAGCAGCTTGTGATGACATGCCACAGCGCAACATGTCAGTTGAGCTGAGGCAATTGTTCTTGCTGAGAACTGGTGGCCAGCAATGCTATCCCTGGTTTGGAAGGAGACAGGACTTCCTGCCACTGCTGCCACCTTTGGAGCATGGAAGTCTCCAAGAGTGATGAGAGATGGTAACCTCTAATCTCCCTCTTATGAGGTTTTAATCCCCTTAATCTTTTCCCCCGGATTCTGAACAGCCATGCAGACTCAAAATGCGCTTGTGTTTGATGTTTGTTACCATCTCAAGATTCATTCTGGAACAGGGTTTTTCAACAGGGGCACTGTTGACAGTCTGAGCCTGATAATTCTTTGTTGTGGGGTGCTGTCTATGCATTGTAGGATGTTTATAGCATCCCTGGCCTACCAAAAATATCTTGAGTCACTGCCAAATGTTCCCAGGGTGGGGGGGCAAAATCACTCCCTGTAGAAACCACTAGTCTAGAGAGAAATTAAAGGAACTCTGGCTTTATTTATGGAACCAGGACTTTTTGCTTAATCTAACATTCCATTCTTCCCTCTTCAGTGTTCCCTAAGAGAGTCCTGTCGAGTAATAGTCCTATAAAATAACCAAGTGAAGCACACATGTCCTATATATCCCTCTATGTCAAGCCTCCCCTACATGTGCTATAATTCTGTCTCCACGGGGTAGAATTAGTCACTTTAAAAAAAAAATTTTTTTTTATTAACATATGTATTATTAGCCCCAGGGGTGCAGGTCTGTGAATCGCCAGGTTTACACACTTCATAGCACATACCTTCCCCAATGTCCATAACCCCACCACCCTCTCCCTCCCCACCCCACCCCCTCCTCCTGCAACCCTCGGTTTGTTTTGTGAGATTAAAAGTTTGTTTTGTGAGATTAAAAGTATCATTTGGTTTGTCTCCCTCCCGATCCCATCTTGTTTCATTTATTCTTTTTTTACCCAAATCACGTTTTAAGGGTGGGGAAACTGAAGCTGAGAAAGGTTAATTTTCCAGTTACCCAGTTAGTAAACAGCAGAACCAGGATTTTGAGCATGAGTACTTTCTCTTCAGACTGACAGGAAGCTAACTTCAATAAGCCTCAGAAGCCCTCTGACTGTCCAGTGTTTGGGACGTGTGTATTTGGACTACATTAAAATCTTATTCTGAGGGGCGCCTGGGTGGCTCAGTTGTTAAGCATCTGCCTTCGGCTCAGGTGAGTGATCCCAGGGTCCTGGGATCAAGCCCCACATCGGACTGTCTTCTTCCTCTCTCACTTCCCCTGCTTGTGTTCCCTCTTTCGTTGTCTGTCAAATAAATAAAATCTTTAAAAAAAAAAAATCTTATTTGGAGGACAGAAGGACTTGTGGCCACCTTTTTGAAAGTGAATTTTCTCCTTTTTCTTTGTCTCAGAAGGAAGCTGTTTGCGGGGAGAGAACTGAAGCCCAAGCGCCTATCTTCTTTCGGGTCTCACAAACACCTGAAGTCTTGGTCCCTGAGGGGTACCAGGGGCCTGGGAACTTGAGAGGTGGGCTGAGTAAGGGCCAGACCCCCAGGACAGAGCGAGCCACACAAGGGGTGCCAACCCCAGTAAGACTCAAAGCAGACACCAGACACTCATGACTACTCATGGATGTGTATTTTAATAAAAATAATTCTGTCAAAATACAACAGGAGTTTTTTCATCTCTCAAGTACAATTTAATAGGATGTTTTGTGTTAGAATTCTCTCTAAACCCTCCCACGCCCATAAGTTTCATGCTAATGCCAAGTATCAACTTGCAAGGACAAAGGCAGAACCAGTGTGCACAATGTGGAGGACATCTGTTTCAGCTGTAGTTACTAATGGAGGAAAACCCTATGCAAAGAGGCGGCACCTGAGGCATCCAGAGTCCATGAACTGGCCACAGGTCTGGTGCACGGGACCGGTGGTCAAGTAGGGCTCTGCTGCCTGGCTGCCACATGGCATGCATACCTGAGTTGTGAGCAACCAAAGGAACTTTCAGCTCTGACAGTTCTCTGCCTCATCTTCTTTGTGCTTGCTTAAGGGGTAGGAAGGTGCTGGGTGGGCTGGGCAGTCCCCCCTTCACCATCTCTTGGTGTCCCTGTTCTGGCGGCCTACCCCCAGCCACAGATTCATGTGGGTAAGGATCAGAGGTTCTGGCTTTCTTTGCAGGGTCTGCCAGGGTCCACTCTGGAAGGAGTGACCATTTGGTGGCACAAGGGGGAAAGGTAAATAGGGAAGGCTGCTCCCCCAGGGCTGGACAACCCAAGAGAGCCAGGTCTTCTTCCTGTCCCCCTAGGTCAGGTCCAGCCCTTCACTGGGGCTCCTCCCAGGTGCCTTCCCCACTGTTGGCTCCCGAAAGCAGGCTGGTAGGACTGGGTGTGCATAAGGGGCTCCTCTGGCTGGCAGGCAGCCCTGAACTATCAGCAAGATAGTGGACTCAAGCAGCTTGGTTTTGGTCCTCTCCACGACTTGTGGGGCAAAGGCTTATGTCCCAAAGGCAAGCTGTCCAACTGGGACAGAGAGAGCCCCTCTGGAGAGGAACAGAGTAAACAACTTGAACTCAGCTGAAACAGTGAGATAAGGCACAGAAAATGGGGAGGTGGCCATGGGTACTGAGAGTGAGCCAGGAGGACACCCAACCCCAAACAGCACACAGCTGTCCCAGGCCCTCTTGGGCCCTCTCTCAGACGCTCCACAACTCAAGCCCATGCACCCGTCCCCATCCCTGACACACCCCTGAAGGTACCAGCTGCTCAGACACTGCTGGGGGCCTCACCAGCCTAAGCCCTCACCTGCCATTTAGCTTCAGGACTAAAACAGTGTTGCACAACCCCCAGGGATGAGTTAGTCCAAGCTCTGCCACTAATTTGCTGTGTGACTTTGGCTAAGTCATTTAATCTTCTGGGCCTGTTTCCGTATCTGTAAAAGGAGAGGACTGGTGGAGTAGATGTTCTCTGAACCCCATTCCAGCTGCAAAAGCCTCTGGTTTAAATTCCCAATCCTGCTCAGCTCTGGCCATTTTAGGAGCTTGATGTTTCCAACCTCTGGGTTTGGGAGCTAGACATCCTCAGCCTTGCACAGGATGAGTTTCCTTTACAGACATGACAACACCTCCCCAACAGGCCATGGTCTGGTGTGCCAGCTGGAGCCCTGTGGGGACCAAGAAAAAGCAGCAACTCGTAGGATCACGTCCCAAGGCAGAACTCTGGGAGAGCACAGGGCGAGGGCTCCAACCCCGTCACCAGCAGTTGGTCCAACTCAATCACTTTTTCTGTCCAGCTGTGAGCCTGTCAGGCAATGAATATCTCAGGCCGTACCACCATCCCTGTGTCCACTGCCAAAGAGCAGGAGCTTACCCAGCCCCTGCCCAGGCATGGACTAGAAGTTCAATTTCTGGCCTTGCCTCTTTGCAAGGACTGACTGTGTGCTCCCTCTCACTGAAGCAGGTAGGGAAATCCCGACCCCTCCTGGTGCTCCTCTGAGTAGGCCTCCTCCCTTCTTCCTCCTGGGCAGTCAGTCCTCTCCACGGATGGCCTGCCCAAGTCCTAGCAGTCAACTCAGCCCTTCCTCTCCTGATTCCCTGATGGCAGTACCAGGACTGTTTTTGCCCCACTAGCTGTGAGGATCCATCTGAAACAGTTGGTGGGACACCTGCAGAGCCCATGAGGTCCCTTCCTCTGGCCAGCAAATACTCATAATAGTCTTTTCTAAGAGTGGCCGGGGCCAAGCTGCAGGGAGCTGCCTGGCACAGCTGCAGTGAAGCCTGACCTAGTAGGTCAAGAGTTCCATCCCCTCCAGCAACCGGCAGCCCAAGAATCTGCCTCCATAAAGTCCTAGCTTCTCAAGAGAAAGCACTGATTCCATGAGAGCTGTGCAGAGACGGTGAAGATCCAGGCAGAAAGAAGGCAGCCCCTGTACTCAAGGACTTCTGTCCTGGAATGGACACACATCCTCTCCGCAGCCTGACACACAGCAGCTCTCGGGTCAAAGGCAGGTAGTTTCCAGGCAATCGATTTAGAGTAAATGAATTATTTGGCCATCTTAACGACAAGGGAAAATAGGATGCTGAAAGGGAGAGAAAGAAAGGGGCAAGGCAGGCAGTGAGAGGCAGGGTAGAATGGTAGATAATGTGCTGGCCAAGGACTCCCTACTCCCTTGCTTTGCTGAATAGCCCTGGGCCAACTCATCTCCTCTCTGAAGCCTCAGCCCTATAGTTCTCCGCTCAGCCCAGTTCTCAGGGGCCTAGGGACCCACACCTCTCAGCTGCTAACCAACTTAGCCTGACCTGCCCACTAACTGGCCCCCAGTGCCTACTGGGCTTCCCTGGGCTGCAGCTGGGCCTGTGGCTCAACAAAGGGGAAGCCTGAAATAAACTTATTACTTGGCTGAGGTGACAGAGATGATTCTTTTTTAATGAGTTGGACTCAAATAAAAACATATGGTGTCTGGACAGCCTCACCCAAGAGGTGCTGGACCACTAACACTACGATAAATACTGTGTCTTTTTTAATATATATATTTATATATATAATCTCATTTTTTTTACTTATGAAAATAATAAGCTATCACCAACTCGGATAGGCTTCATCACTAAATTAGCAGAAACCAGCTCAGCACAAGCTCTCCAGAGATAAATACTGGTGGCTCAGTCAGGAGGAAAAAAAAAAGATTAAAAAACCCAAACCCTCCTCAAAACAAAACCCCCCTTTCAAAGTAGAAGGCGCTACATGAGAGTAACCAGCCAATACTGTGTCAGAGGCCGCTGCACATGAAGGGGAGAGAAAGACTGAGGGCAGGGGTAGGGGGCGGAAGGAAAGGAAAAAGGAAAGAAGGAAGGAAGGAAGAAAGAAGGAAGGAAGGCGGAGAGGGAGGGATGGCAAGGAAGGGAAGGAAGGAAAGGGAAAGGGAAGGAAAAGGAAGACAGGAAAGGGAATGGGAAAGGCCAGGCAGGAGGAATGGACTCTGCCCATGGCTTCTAGGTCCCTGCGCCAGATGCCTATGGAGGGCAGGGCTGCTCTAGCTCTGGCTAGAGAGGGGCTGAGAAGGGCCAGGTGGGGCCAGCCAGCGTGGTCAGCTAGTGCAAGTAGTCGTCGACTCTGGCAAAGGAGCAAGATCCCAGGCCCGCTCGGGCCATGAGCCGTAGACATTCAGATGCCTGACCCAGGGCGAGCATCAGAGGGGGCTGCTTTGGCAGGTTCTGAGACTCTGTGGAGGAGAGACAAGGCCTGGTCACTGCTTTGCCCAGGAGTTGGCCTAGATCAAAGTTCCCTTGAGAGCAGAAAGTCGGGGCAGTGGACAGAATCTCTGGGAACAGTGTTCATGTGTCTCTGTGTTTGTCCCAAGCAGTAGTCTATGACCCCGCAGCCATGCCAGGAACCTGAGGACCTTAGCTCTCTTCAGAGCCATGAGCTGGCCAAGCCCACAGTCATTGGCCAGGGTCTATCATGATCTAGCCAGCCAACTCAGCTGGGCAGAGGGAGGCCAGGATTTAGGTTCAGCCATGGAAGCCCAAGTGCTATGGGCTACCAGAGAGTGCCCAGGCAGAGCTCACTACCCTGATTTGGACAAACATCAGCAGTTCCTAGGGAGAGAGGGGAGGTAGGCTAGCCCAGGCACTCACGGACGAGCTTCTGTTTTTGTTTTATCTACTTACCTAAAATGGCGCTGTTGAGGGCAGCACACACAGGCTCCCTCTGGATGGGGTCAAGCTGCTGGCCAACTGGGCAGCTCCAGGGGTCTGAGTATGCCAGCAGGCTAAAGGCATCCTAAGGGATAGGGCATTCTTGAGAAGAGAATGGCACATACCACACACATACATATCTCCGTGGCTCCAGGGGGCATACAGGGCCCTGCATGGTGCCCAGTGAGGGCACTGCACACCCTGAGCATAGGGTCAGGAAGGACTGTGCCCTCCCCAGAGCCTAGAGAGGGCTGCATATATCCCGGAAGTCCTGTTTCCCATCGTGGACTTGACGAGAGCCCACTCTGTCCTGTCACCGCTACACCCAAGGCCCTCCCAGAGTCGACCTGTCCCCACTCCCATGGTGGGACAGCCGCTCTGCATGAGCGCCTGGCTTGTTCTATACCTGCAGCATCTCCGTGTGGGCCAAATTCTTGCCGTACTCCCGGCCCAGCTGCTCGCTCAGTGCCTGCAACTCGCGACCAAACAGGATAATCCTTTCTGTGGCAGCCTGGTTGCCCCCACAGAGCTGCCGCCGAGGATGCCCATCATCTGCGCCCAGAGCCCAGCAGAGAACAAATCGTGAGGGGTAAGGAGACAGGGGAGGACTGGGGAGGGGACCCCAAAAAGGAGACAGGAAAGACCTTGGGGCCAAGTTAGGTGGACCATCCGTAGCTGAGGGGCTTTTAGTCCACCTAGCACATGACCTAGGAGTCTGGATTCGACTTTCCCTCTTCCCACCCGCTAGAGTGCTCAAGAGAATGCCCACTCTCACCAAGTCGCTCCAGCCTCAGACGCAGCAGCCCTGGTCTCGGCATCAGGCCACGGGCCCTCCCACTCCAAGCACGCGTTCCTGACTACAGTGCCAGTGGATCAGGTCCACTCAGAGCTTCTCAGGTTGACAGAGCCTGCCCATGCCAACCCGCTCCCAGGGGGCAGAAGTCATCCAGGCTGAGCCACTACCACCCCTGCAACACCATACCAGGCCATGGTTCTCACCCATGCTGGACTCATCTGTCTGTAGGTCCTCATGCTTGTAGGAGCCATTGACGATGCGCGTGGCTACACTCTCCAGCACACCATTGGGGTAATGCTCTGCTTCCATCTCCATCTCACTGTCACTGTGGAGAAGGGTGCAGGTAGGAGCTGGCCAGGTGGATATGGTTGGGAGCAGCCTGGCTGGGCCTCCATTCAGGCTTGCCACAGGTCGCTGTGGGTAAACCAGGCTCCAACACCTGGCCCCTACTCTGACATCAGCTATCCGCAGAGGCCTGTCACCTGATTCTAACTCTTGTCCCAGTGCTGCCTCTGTGGCTCTCCCCTCCTTGGCCTTTGTGAGTTGACACACCCCTTCTACCCATTCCTCTCCCACCCCAGGGACCAGAGACCCCTGAGAAGTATCTCTAGGCACCAGACTCAGGTCCAACCCTGAGGTATGCCTAGGGGCAGCCGAAAGCCACAGGTAGTCTACAGCCTAAAATCTCTGCTGCTCCATCTGTCTGTCTGCGGGCCACACCCAGTCGGGGTTCTGCCAGGCCCCGCAGGAGCAGCGCTTCTTGAGAAAGTCAGGGCTGAGCAAAATGACAGCTGGATCACAGGCAGGGCCAGAAGCTGGAGCCAATGCCTGGCCTGGCAGGTCAGCAGCAACTACTCCAGGCCCAGACCTGGGATGGAGGTGGGCAGTTAAGGGCAGGGGTGGCACTCGAACAGGCTGCAGTGAGCCCAGCTGGTACAGAGCAGAAAGGAGGAGGAAGAAGCAGAGTAGGACAGGCACCTGGTCTCCTGGTTACTGGTGCTGCTGTGGGGCTGGGACTTGGTGGAATCTGTTGAGTTGGACTCGGAGTAATTGACGGAGGATGGGGATGAGGAGGACGAGGAGGACGAGGAGGAGGAGGAGGAGCTGGGTGCAGGGTATTTACTGTGGTTCTGTTTGCTTTTCATGGATGCGACACCATTGCTGCAGCTGGGACTGTCTGCTCCTGGAAACCAGGGAATAGTCACAAGAGGAGGGGCGGTTTGCCATAAAGGGGCCCGAGGAATGACCACAGTGGTCCCATTTCCCTTCCCCCAAATCCAGCAGCGAGCCCTGAGCCCAGCCCAGGGAAGGGCATGTGGGTGGCCTTTCTTCTCCACACCAGTTCTTCCCCGAGCCCTCTGGAGAGTGGCTGACCTGTGTTGTGCATGTGGGAACTACTAGGGCCGTGTCGGGGGCTGAGGCTGGGGGAGCCAGGGTAGCTGTCCTGGGACTTGGGGCTTCGGGAGCTCAAGCTGCGGACCTCACTGTCGGTCCCATTCACCATCTCCACAAATTGTCGGCACCTGCAGAGGGAGCAGAGCGGCAATGCTCTGGGCTTGGTCTGGGCCGTATGTTTCCACCACCAGCTGAGAGGGACTGGGTTAGGGGGGAGATGGTGGTGCCCAAAACTTACTTGAGCATGAAGAGCAGGTTAGGGTTATGCTCCAGCAGTCCTGGATAGAAGCGCTGTGTGGTCTCAATGGCCTCACCCACACGGCCCTCCAGCACCAGCTTCTGGATCTCTGCAGAGAGCAAGAGTATGGCAGTGAGTGAGGGGCTGCAGACTTTCTTCACAGCCACATGCCTGCACGCTACCAGCCCCAAGCATGGACTAGCCAACGGTCACGGGCTGGCTCAGAGTGGCATGTCTGGTTGAGATGCTCAGAGAAGCTAAAGAAAGAACCTGACCCCCAGCCCCAGAATAGACCCTGGTTTCTGCCAAGTGTCAGGGAGTCTTCAAAGAACAACAGGGGAAAACAGAGGCAGGACTCAGTGCAGAGGCAGGAGAGCAGATGTGGAGGCCTCCTCCTACGGAGGTCATTCGCCAGGGACCTGGGCACGGGGAGGGGTTTTGGCCGTGGGAGCATGATCTGGGGCCAGGCACCCAGGCAGCTTGGTGGCCCCAGGGGCTCCTCTTCAGACAGACTTCTCTCTTTTCAGGCCTCACAGTGGGTGGCAATGGGAACACAATGGTTTCTGGGCCAGGGCCCAAGTCTTGGCAGTCTTCAGGGGCTGCGGCGTGCTCCCTGCTGGGAGAGAAGGCCATCCTCCTCATAATGGCATCTCTGACGTTGACACCTTTCAGGCCATCAGCATCTTGCTCTTGTTCTGGGGCCTGGTGCATCTTGCTGGGAGCGACTTCTGGGTCTGAGGCTCTCATTCGTAGATCCCAAGTCTGGGATCCCTTTCCGTCTGTCTGGCTGGGCGTAGCTTCTCTGGGAGACACAGACACATGCACATACACAGAGACGACAGGCTCAGAGAGACGCAAGCAGGCACACACGGACACACACATCCACAGACGCCCATTCTCCTTCACTCGCCTCTCCTCTTCCTATCTCCTTTCTGGGCTCGGTTTCCTCTTTCCCAACACCCTCCTTCCACAAAAGAGCCCCAAACACACAGTATATAGGCCAGTATGTATATTAACAAAGTTTCCTTGGGCTCCTTCCCGTGGTTGTCTGCAAAATGCAGGACCAGAGGGGGGCGCAGAGAGAGGTGCTACCACAGCAGCCACAGAGGGCCAGCCTTCTCCCTGTCTAACTACTCAGTCCTTCCTCTGGCCGGGAGCCGGCACAACCACTAAGGCTGAGTAAATGGCAGAGGCAGGACATTGGTCTGAGAAGATGCAAACACACTCTTCCAGAAGACTATGAACACGAGGCTGAGTAGGATCCAGGATTCAGGGGAAGGAAGCAAGCATGGAGGAGGGGGATCCAGCCATGCCAGGCCCCAGCCTCTGCCGGGCCATCAGGGTGTGCAGTAGGGAGGCTGCACGGAGGCATTCATTCCCATGCTGCCGGGCCGTCCATCTGGGCAGTGTTGTCGTGAAGGAGGGACAGAAGCAGAGCCTGGGGCTGGGCTGGTCTCCTGGTGGTAAGGACCAGAGCTGAATGGACTCCTGACAGGTTACCCAAGGCTGGCATGAGCCAGAGAGCAGAGTTAGGGACAGGTGAGGGAAGGAGGGAGAGGGGAGAGGAAAATCAACCTTACTTTGTCTGTTCTTTATGGATGCTTGTTCTTCCTGAATCGGGGTTTCAGTCATTCGGGCAAAAGCCGTGGCTGTGGCACAATACCCATGATGCACCAGGTAAGATGAGACCATGCTAGAAGAAAGGAAATGCTCACGGTGACACTCTAGAACTGCATTTCTCATTGATCACCTGATGAAACAAACTATCTCCCTATCTGGGCTTCCTTACACATGAGAAGGTGCAACCTTCACAGAAGGAGGATAAAGAGGCTGCAACAAAATGAAATACCCGCCCCTCCGACCCCAGCGCTCATGCAGTCAGGCTGGGGAGGAGCTAGTCACCACAGCTGTCCTCACAGCTTGGAGGAGGGGCTGCAGTTTCTTTGGAATATGCCGTCCACAAGCAGGTGAGTATGATAACAAAAATACACGCACAGGCACGTACTGTCTCCTTACAGCAGTGGCTGCCTCTTGTGAACTGTGGCAAGCCCAGAGATGGCTGACAGTCTCTCAGAGCCAAGTGGTCTAGGAGCTGCCCAGACTGAGGCGATGTGTGCCGTGTGCGTGCCTTCCAGACGCACGGGTAGACGGCCCCACATGCCCAGCATAAGCATTCCAGTTCAGCAGGCGAACCTGGCCTTCAGGAGTGCTGGCTCAAGAGGCTGATGGGGAGTTACCCCATGACCCAAGTCCCTCCACAATACACCCAGTCAGGGGCCCAAGAAGCCAAGAAATAGGGAACCAAGTGGCCAATAGGAGCACAGCCTCTGGGGAAAGGCCTGGAGAAGCGCAATGCCCAGTCGCCATTCAATTGCACCAGCAGCTGGCTCAGCGGTGGCACGTGTGTGGCATGCACACACATGGAGAGCAGAAGGGTGAGCCCTCACACCTGATGTCCACAGACCTGAGTACCTTGGTGTAAACATGTATCCGACACCATTACTGTAATTGCCAAACACCAATGTGAAAGGCACAGAAGTTCAGCTGTGCGTCTCCTCGTGTTTTAAGGGTTAAGTGAGATGACACATAGAAAGTGCCTAGCACTATCGATGAAATAAACCTCTGATAATGAAATTACGTATTTATATTATACTATGAATAAAGATAACTATTATGAACACAAGAGCAAACATTTTGGACAAAACATGGTTCAGAGGAGTCCACGCGCACGTCAGACGCCACTAACATATATGGTCCACTGACCCATTAATCCCACTTCTTGAAAGGACGCCAAGAAAATAATCTTAAATATGAAAAGAACTTTACTTACAAAAGGGTTGCCCACACAAGCAAAAGAGAGGAAATAACCGGAACCCCCCACCAAGGCGGGTAGGTGTTGGCAAACACCACATACGAACACACACCGGCACGTGCACACGTCCAAACACACTGCAAGCTGTGAGTATCGTTCCCTCCCCAACACGGCTGGGGCAGCTCCACCTCTCCCCTTGCCTGTCCCAGCAAGCCTGCTTCAGGGACTGGCATTGTACTGGCCAGCTGTCCAAGGAAGAGCTTCTCAACAGCTCTGAGGGCTAAAACCAAAACAGTGTGGCTCTAGGGATCTGGCCACATAATCCCCGCCTCACCCCTCGCCTATAACTGCCTCCATACCCATCCTTAAAGAAAGGAAGACTGCACGAAGAACCCAGTGTGCAACCCCACCCCACCCAAGGGACCCTGCTACCTGGGTGCCTTTGCAGGCCAATAATCAGGGCTAGTAGAAGCCCAGCCCTTGTCTGCCCACCCTTGTGAGTCAAGCTAACAAGCTAGCCCACCTCTGGCAGAGTGGGTCCTGGTTATCGTCTCACTCAGGCCTGCAGCTGGTGAGAAGAAGAGAGACCCAAACCTCGCCTCCCTTCAGATTCTCAGCAAGCCTGGCTTCCAGGATGGTCTGAAAACTAATCATCCAAGAGCCAGATAGGCTGGCCTCAGGAGGATTCTCTTCCAGCCATCACTGCCATGGATCCCAGAGTCACAGCATGATGGATACTCCCTATGGTGCAAAAAAAGTCCACAGACGAAGAGACCACGAGGCATCCTAGTACATCCTCTGCAAAATGATCTGGAGAAGGAAAGCAGCTCTGCTGGTGATAACTACATGCAGAGCCTTCCAACCCAGGTGAGGGGGTAAAGGCTTAATTAGGAACAGATCTGGAGAACTGAGCAGAAGCTGCTTATCTGGTAAGAGGGAAGGAGGACAGCCGCAGGCAGAGTTACCCCAAGAGTGCTTTCCAGAAAGAATGGTTACCCACTGGAGTTCATAAGAGCAGCTTGAAGCAGTACAGGGGCCTATGGGAGAGTGAGGCCCCTGTGATGGGCCAGGGCTGGAAAGGGCAGGAGTGGGGAACTCACCTCTGCAGCACCGCCTGCCACTCGCCAAGCCGAGCACTGATGGGGAAGCAGTGCACAGTGCCTTGGACCTTGGCACGCCACTCCCGCATGTAGTCCTCAATGTCAAACAGGAAGGGCTGCTGCCCAAAGTTGGCGTCCACAATCTCCCCGGGTGTCTGCAGGCCTACGGTGGGGTAGAGGTTGGCCTGAAGAGGAGAATGAAATGTCAGTTGGGCCCTGAGGGCAGTGGGGCAGCAGGGCCTCGCCTTACCTCTGGTGCAGAGAGGGAAGGCGCTGGCTCCTGCAGGCCACTACTCCAGCTTTTGAAAGAATTGCAGGCTGAAGGAGGCAGGGCTGAGTCACATTCTGCCCACCTCCTTACCAGAGACACCATTCCCCAAAGCTTAAGGACAGAAAGCAAAAGAAAAGCAAGCCAGGCTCAAAGTGCCTGCATCAGAGGCTATGGGCTCCCCAAAAATCCAAGGTCCCCCCCTGTGGGGGTCAGGTAGGGCACACAGAGGTAGACCAAGCTCCACAACCCTACAGGGATGCCCATGAAGACCTACTACATGGGTGGATAATGGCTCCTTTCCAAAGGATCTTGGACCAAGGATCCCATTGCCACCAAAAAAAGGGGATATATGACAGGGCAGGAAGGGATGAGGTGATAGAAAAGGAAGGTGGGGAGGAAGACAGCTTGGCCAAAGGGGGTAGGTGGTTTGGACCCCCAGAGGTTGGCAAAGGGTAAAGAGAGGCCACTGTCCCTCCTGTCAAAGGCACACTAAGAGGAGGATCTTCTGGCTAGTGACGTGTGGGCATGTCCCTCCATGGGTGGTGGGGCTCCTTGCTTTCCCTCTATCCCCTGTCATGACCAACTTTTGCCAGATCACTCCCTCACTCACTGTTTCCTGTGGCTCCCTGCTGCTACCAAACAGTGTCTTGCTGGCCACCTCCCCACTGTCACTGGGCGCCAGTCCTCTCTTCCACCTTCCATCCTCAGGCCATGTGTCATTCCTGAATAGCCTATATCTTTACTGCATGCTGGGTTCAGCCTGCCACAAGCTCTGAATCCTAAGACCTCCATGCCATAGGCAAAGCCTACCCGCCCCAAGCAAGCTTTCCCTGACCATCACCGCCCTCAGTGACACTGCCCACCTGACAGCAGCCGTACACTTCCTAGCACTTGGCAACTGGCTATATTCATGTCTGCTTATCTCATGTCACATCTCTACAACTAGACCATTCCCTAGCTGAGACCAGAATTCTCCTGTCTTTCTCTTTGCCTAGGACCAAAGCCCCTCTCTGGGCCTTCCAGGTGGGACAGAAGGATTCTGATCTAAAGTTAAGAGTCTCTAACAGGATCCTGAGTGCTGTAGTCTAGGCTTCAGAAGGCCACTCAGATCACAAGGGCCTTTCCCAGGGCATCAAAGGGGTGCTCCAGATCCTAAGGCAATCACCAGAGTCAGCAAACCTCTTCTCTTTCCAGAACCCAGCCAAGGCGCACAGAGCCCAGCCAGACTCCCAGCAGTCTGGGTGGAGGCCTTGCATGTGACGAGATCTGTGATGACTCATAATAATGAAGGATTGGGGTGCAGAAGATGGGGATGATCTGTGAACTAAGCCAACAGGAAACTTCACCCTTTTCTAAGAAGAGAAAACCCCACAAAGCTCACCTCTTTGGCTCGGGCATACCCTGTGTGGTAGCAGACCTAGTTCCCTAGGGTAGCAGCCTTCCTTAGGAATCTCTGATGGGCAGTCACCAGGACCGGGCTCCCTAACAGTTGAGAACGATGCTCTATATACACCAGTCCACTGGCTGTAAGCCACACAGAACTGGCCCAGACCAGCTGAGCCATGGAGCTACCCTCATCTCCACCCAAACCATCCCCCCAGCTGCCTTTGGAAATGCCACAAATCACTGTCACCTGCTAAGAGTCATGGAGGAAGAACAGGCCTTGCTGCTGGAGAGAGAGGAAGGCCAGGAGATACCCCTACTGGTACTCTCAAGCTGACAGCACAGCATACATCCCTGTTTGGGGAAAGGGCCAGGCTCCACACCCTGCACTTGCAGGTTCCACCATGCTCCATCCCAGTCAGCCCCCAAGAGCCCAGAGGGAGGAGACCCACCAAAAGTACTTACCGGGAGGTCTGTGAAGGCTATACCTGCAGAAGGAAAGAACAGAAATGAGGCCACTTGGTCTCCTATGCGTCTGTGGGACCACAGAGGGTCCATCACAATGTCTGGGGAGGGGCTGGTCAGCACACATCTCTCCTACGGTAGAGGCCAAGCAGGTGCTGGGGCCTGGTAGGTTTAGACCCTGGCATTCCCTGTGCTGGGTGGCCTTGCAGGAAGTAAAGTCAAATACTTGAATATTTGCCCACACATCTTCCAGTCTCTCAAGGAAAAAGCCTGCCAGGAAGGACTAAACCCAAATAATGTACTCTGAGGCCTCTGCAGGCCTGATCCTTCTTTTGATCCAACATGTATTGACGGAGATTTACTGAATATGCCAAGCCCTTTTCCATCCATCACCGCATCTGATCTGTATACCAGCTCTGGGGAGCAGGCATTCTTATCCCCATTTTACAGATGAGGAAAGTAAGCCTCAGAGGTGAAATGATTTGCCAACAGTCATAAAATTAGCAGAAGCGGTACGCCTGAACTCTTTCCTAGCCCAAGGCTCCAACATCATCTCTAAGCTGACAGAGAAGTGGACACAGGGAGGGTGGCAGCTGCCCATCTCCAGCCAATACCCATCCAGAGTCTCCAGAGCTTTCAAGTTGACAAATCCTAGGTTAACACGGGCCTGTGTACCCTCTGACCCTTCTGCCAAGGGAAGGGGCTGCTTCCAGGTTCTTCAGCCTTGAGCTGGAAGTGAGAGAAGAGGAAAGCTGCCCAAATATGTGAGCAGAACAAGCACCTCAAATTATCCACCAGAGCATTCATGTTCTATAGATCGAGCAACGGCTCACGGAGAAAGGTGAGCCTTCCAAGGACTCACAGCCCTTCCATTTTTTGAAAATTCTTATATCTTCTAGAAGCTCCTGAGCTTTTGGACTGAGAAGTTTCCAAGCCACTCCTTAGAGGTCCCAGTCAGCTTTCCTAACTCCTGCCCAGAAGAGAAACTGAAACCCAGCAAGAGAGAGGAACAGGTGAGGGTTTCACGGTAGGTCTCCCAGTGAACCCGAGGCCAGAATCCTGTCAGGCAGCTGGCACGTACCCTGTGCCTGCTCTGTGCTGGGTCCTGGGCTCAGGGCCTCCCAAGGAACCATTTCATCCTCAGAACAACCTTAGAAGGCGTATACAGTCTTGAACATTAGTTTACAAAAGAAAAAACCAACGTGCAGAGAAACTGCTTACATTCTTTGCCAGGCTATTTTGCTCCTGAGTGAGGGAAGTGTGCAAACCCCATGATCTGCCTGCCTGAAGCCACTTCTCAGCCCCACATGCAGAGTGGCAGTCACAGAGCTGGCAGAGCGGAGGCTGGAAGCCCTTCTGCATCCAGGAGAAGACCTCAACGTCCACCCTCCAGGTCTGCACAAGAGCTGCCCGTGCAGAGCTCAGTGTGGCCAGGCTGCAGCTGCTATACTCCCCACTCATGAAGAAGACCCATGGGCTCCGGCAGAAGGAGGTTGAGGCTCCATCAGTATCTGCAGTGTGACCGTGGCAATTGACCCAATCTTTCCAAGCCCATCTGAAATAAGGGGGTAACACTAATCCTGACACTTCAAGAAAGAAAGGAGAAACTGAGATACTTCTATAAGAAGTGCTTCCAAACTGTGAGGTCTTAGTACAAGCTGGCTGCAGTTGTGCCACAGGGTGAGGCAAGTGCCACACTTCTGGGCAGGGGAAGACCCAGCCTGGCGTGCCTAGCTCTACCTCACAATGGCACTCAGGAAGGACAAGGCCTTGAGGTGCTTCCAGGAAGATGAGGAAAGAGGTTACTCCACCCCCTATTGCGCCGGACAAGGGCAACACAGCTCCCCCAGACCTGCAGGTCTCTGGGAGCCTCCACAAGGCCAATGTAGTGGTGAGATCTGGGAAAAAAGTCAGGCAAAGATCCAGGATACAAACAGAACATTCAAACTTGCTGATAAGAAGTGCTCTGAGCCAAAGAGACATAGGTCAGGGGCTAATGAGGCTGAGGATATAAAGCCTCTAAGAGCACAGGGATGTATAAAAATGACTCCAAATGTGTGGACCCCTTGTAGGTGAGACATTATTTCCTGTCTCCATTCATTTGCTCATTCATCCTTCCATCAAGTATCTGCTAAGACTTCCCAGGAGCCAGGACCTCAAAGTGTTGCCGGCTCCATGCAACTAACAATGACACAGACAACTGACCACTGACACAAGGGCAAATGCCGTGACAGAGGAACGATGGAGCAAAGAAAGCAAAGGAATGGGGAGGTCAGAGGGAGGAAACATCCTTCTACTTCTCTAAAGGGGAGAAGGTAAGGGTTCGGGTTCTGAAGGTTAAAAAGCAGTGACTGATCCCAGGTGAGATTCTAAAGCACATTACTGATAAGCTGGCTTATGGAAAGGAAACAAGGTCATTAGAAGATTCACCAAGTAGTCTATTAATCCAAGTTCATTGCCCTTCCATTAAATTCTGTGATCTAGAAAGTGCAGGGGACAGGCCACATACATTTTTCAGTAAGGTCTCAGTAATATCGTTGTGGCCAAGACAGAAAAACAAGAGTTTCAAATGAACATAATTAAGTGATTCTTAAATAGCTATACCCTGAAGGACTCAGATCTCAGCCTTGTTCACTTCAGATATTTTTTCAAGACCTTGATGAAAACATACATAAACATGTTTATCAAATTTTATGTTAATACAGTGCTGACAAGGCTATCAAATATTTGAGAAAGAACAAGCAAGATCACAGACGATCCCGACAGGTTGGAAAAATAAGCAATATCCTCCTAAATGAGTGAGATCTTGCATGAGGTCTATAAAACAGGTGGAAGTGGGAGATAAGAGTTTAAAAATAATGTGAGGGTTTGGGCTGGCATAAAGGTGTCTGAGAGCTCCTTACAGACCTAGGTACCTGACTGACAAAGAGCCTGGGGGCTTGGCATGCCCACAGGGCCCAGATGAGAGAGATGAAGGTGGAGAGAAGACAGCAGGGTATGCCCCGAATTTCATCCCATTGCCCTGTACCAGGCAAATGTGGACAACCTGGAGGGATGTGACGAAGGCAGGTATCCAGAGCACAGAGGAAAGACTGAGACTGGGACAGGTGAAGAGGGACATGGGTAAAGAGGCCACAACTGAAGCTCCTGGGACTCTAACAGCAGAACAAGAGCCAGGGAACAGCCAGAGTCAGAGAGCAAAGTGGGTGTAAGAAGCCATCTTGAGACCTTGTCCTTAGCTGCCAGCTCACCAGCTGGGTGCCACCAACTACAGCCAGGTGGCTACAGATTTCAGAGGATGTCTCCGGATGTGCGCCTGAGTCACCTCTGCGGGGTTTATGCTACACTCTTGGCTGCCCACTATGGGCAGTGGCATCTGACTGTCCTGTTGAGGAATTCTGACTCCTGGAACACCTGGGTGGCTCAGTCATTGATGTCTGCCTTCGGCTAGGGTCATGATCCCAGGGTCCTGGGATGAGCCCCATGTCAGGCTCAGCAAGGGGCCTGCTTCTCCCTCTCCCACTCCCCATGCTTCTGTTCCATTTCTCGCTTTCTCTCTGTCAAATAAATAAATAAAATCTTAAAAAAAAAAAAAGAAAGAAAAGAAATGCTGACTCCTGGCCTTTCAGTCCCAGCCACCAGCAAACCCAATTCCCACTCATGCAGCCTAACTCAGCTGAGGTTCATCTCATGGAGAACCCACACAGAAGTCATCTCTGCCACCTTCTCACTGCCCCTCAAGCCAGGGGATGTAGGCCTCCTAAAAGTTAGGTTCTTTCTTTTTTTTTTTTTTAAAGATTTTATTTATTTATTAGAGAGAGACAGTGAGAGAGGGAACACAAGCAGGGGAAGTGGGAGAGGGAGAAGCAGGCTTCCTGCTTAGCAGGGAGCAAGATACAGGGCTCCATCCCAAGGACGGTGGGATCACGACCCGAGCCGAAGGCAGACGCTAAACAACTGAGCCACCCATGCGCCCCTACAAGTTAGGTTCTAAGTAAAATATCCAATTCCCTTTTCTTACAAGGCCTGTGGCCAGCCTAGCCTGGGTTCTGCCAGCTCAGAGACCTCTGCAAATCCAAACAGGCAGGCCCAGCGGTTAGGCACTACCTCAGGGCCATTTTGGCCAAGGGCTCCTCTTACTCAAGAGTCAAATACCAAATACCAGTCAGCCCCAGTAGGGCAAGACACCACAATAACCAATGTCTCCCTATCTCCCAGGCTCTTATCCTAAATCTCTCCACATGTACGGGGTTGCTCTTCCAAGAGATCCTTTAGGGCCCCCATCACTCCCCACTGAATGCTGCTCCTCCCGGCTTCCTAATCCTGGCTAACAGCACCACTATCCAGCCTCTTTCCCATCCTCTCTTCTTGCTAGTGCACCCCATCTGTCACTAAACCCTCCTGGGCCATCCTGGCCTCTGTCAGGCTTGCTCCCCATAGCCTGAACCAATCGCGATGACCTTGCCTTAGGTTATCTACCTCTTCCCCAGGCCCTCCCTCACTCCTGTCAGTCTCTCCTTTGCAGTTACATTGAAGGACCCTTTTATTTTATTTTATTTTGTTTTGTTTTAAGATCTTATTTATTTATTTGACAGAAAGAGACACAGCAGGAGGAATGGGAGAGGGAGAAGCAGGCTTCCTGCTGAGCAGGGAGCCCGATGCGGGACCTGATCCCAGGACCCTGGGATCATGACCTGAGATAAAGACAGACACTTAACGACTGAGCCACCCAGGCGACCCCGAAGGACCCCGAAGGACCCTTTTAAATAGAACTCTGTCCAGGTTGCTATCTGTTAACCTGTGAAAAGGCCAGAAAAGACCTGGCCCCATCTGACTCCAGCCTGTCTGTTTACCTCCCATATGAGAGCAGACCTCTTGTTGCTCCACAGCAACTAGCATCCTGCATGTTGGAAGGGCCAGCCAAAGTCAGGACCCAGGCCACGCACGTGCAAACCACTACCACTGGCGGGTATATACTTCTCACCAAGGCCAAATCCAACTCCAACAAGTGTCACACAGGCCAGGGGCATGACCATGACCCTGGTCTTTTCTCAGCACCAACCCTGGGCTTGAAAAATACTGCTAAATGGATGGATTAACAAAGGAAGCACCCCTGCTACCTTCCCTTCACTTCACAGGGCTCCAATGCCTGGAAACGGCTGCAGTTCCCCAGAGCTCCCCAGAGCTCGGCAGAGGATCAGTGACCCTGCTCTGGTGTTCCAGCCTGCCTGTGGGCCGCTCACAATCAAAGTGGCTCCATGGGGTATAGCCTCTAAGGTCCCCTAGGCACCCACCGAGGCTGTGGCCATTCTTGGTGTAGAAGCAGGTGCTGTTGATGAGGTTGACACAGCAGCCAATCACATCTCCTGTGGTGAATGTGGGACCGTAGGGCTGGCCAGTGCCAGAGGAGCAGAATGAGTGCCCATCATCGCCATGGTAACCATAGGAATGTTTATCCCAACCTGTGGAGGAAGAGAAGAGCAACAGGTGAGTGGATATAGTTGAGTCAGCCAGACACACCACCTAGGTCTGAGCTCCTGTCCCCAGCCTGCTACCACCTCAGTTAGTACTTCTGGCCTCTCAGAGCCGGCTGTGGACAGGGTAGGGCTATGCCCAAGGAGCAGGGAGTCCAGCACGTGATCGCACTTGAGGAGCTGAAGCAATCAAGGGGCCCAAGCTGTGGTTAACGAGAACCAAAACCATGAGTGACCTGGAAGGGACTTACCAGAAGGCCATGCGTATGACAAGGGAAAATGTTATGAAGGAGAGGGGCTTAAACTGACCTTTGAGGGATTTTTAAACATATTTTTTAACTGAAGTATAATTTACATGTAATAAGATTCTCCCTTTTTAATGGACAGTTCAGCAAGTTTTGTTTTTTTTTTAAAGATTTTATTTATTTATTTGACAGATCATAAGTACACAGAGAGGCAGGCAGACAGAGAGAGGGAAGCAGGCTCCCTGCTGAGCAGAGAGCCTGACGTGGGGCTTGATCCCAGGACCCTGAGATCACGACCTGAGCCGAAGGCAAAGGCTTTAACCCACTGAGCCACCCAGGCGCCCGGACAGTTCAGCAAGTTTTAACAAGTGTTCCCACCATGATCAAGACATAGAAATTACCGCTGTTCCAAAAAGTTCCCTCATGCCTCTTTGCAGTCAGCCCCACTCCCCCCACCCCAGTCTCTGGCAACACTGATCCGATTTGTTCCTAAAGTTTCGCCTTTTCCAGGATGTCACAGAAATGAAATCACAGAATACAGAGGGTCCTGTGTCTGACTTCTTTCACTTAGCACAACACATTTGAGATTCACCCACATTGTTTAGGTGTACCAGTATTTTGTTTCTTTTTATTGCTGACATAGTCCTCCATTATATGGATATGACACAGTTTATCCATTCATTAGTTGATGACATTTGAGCTGTTTCGATCTTTGGCCATTGTGAATAAAGCCAATAAATACTTACATACGGGCCTTTGCGTGGACATATGTTTTCATTTCTCTTGAATAAATACTTAGAGGTGGTATTGCTGGCTCATAAAATAAGTGTATGTTTAACTTGATAACAAACTGCCTAATTGTTTTCCTACGTGGTTGTACTATTTGCATTCTCACAGCAATGTATAAGGCCCACTTTCTCACAAACACCTGTTATGGTCAGATGTTGGGTTTTTTTTTCTTACTCTTTTAGCCATTTTATTTATTTATTTATTTATTTATTAAAGAAAAATTTTTTTTAAAGATTTTATTTATTTATTTGACAGACAGAGATTACAAGTAGGCAGAGAGGCAGGCAGAGAGAGAGGAGGAAGCAGGCTCCCTGCTGAGCAGAGAGCCCGATGTGGGGCTCGATCCCAGGACTCTGAGATCATGACCTGAGCCGAAGGCAGAGGCTTTAACCCACTGAGCCACCCAGGCGCCCCATCTTTTAGCCATTTTAGTAGGTATTAGTAGTTTCAATGTCATTGCAGCTTTACTGTGCATTTCCCCAACGACCAAGGATCTTTTGAGCATCTTTTCATATACTGAATCATCAATTTGTTAGAAAAACAATTGAACTATGCAGAATTTTAACCAGGTTTTTTTTTTTTTAAAACAGGTTTTAAAAAAAGATTTTATTTATTTATGAAAAAAGAGACGGGGGAAGGACAGAAGGAGAAGTGGACTGCCTGATGAGCAGGGAGCCAGGTAAAGAGCTCAATCCCAGGACCTCCAGGATCACTATCTGAGCCGGAGGCAGACACTTAACTGACTGAGCCACCCAAGCGCCCCTTTAACCAGTTTTTAAAATTGGGCTGTGTGTCTTATGAAGATTTAAGGATTCTAGATATAGTCTGAATACAAATCCTTTTATGTGTTTCACAAATATTTTTTCCCAGGGTGTGGTGTGTCTTTTCATTTTTTTTACAGTATTTTTTTTTTTTTAAGATTTTATTTATTTATTTGACAGACAGAGATCACAAGTAGGCAGAGAGACAGGCAGAGAGAGAGGAAGCAGGATCCCTGCTGAGCAGAGAGCCTGATGTGGGGCTCGATCCCAGGACCCTGAGATCATGACCTGAGCTGAAGGCAGGGGCTTAACCCACTGAGCCACTCAGGAACCCCTTAACAGTATTTTTCAAAGGCCTGCCGGGATTTTGATTGGGATTGGGTTGAATCTATAGATCAATTTGGAGAGAATAGATAGCTTAATAATACTGAATATTTCAATTTCTGAACATGGCATATCTCTCCTCTTATTTAGGTCTTTAATTTCTCTCAACAAGGTTTTGACCAATTTTTCTCTACTCTACTTTTCATGCTATTCTAAGTGTTATTTTAAAATTTCAATTCCCAATTGTTTTTTGCTATTATATCAAAATATAATTGATTTTGGGATGGGAGTATAGGATCAAGGTTTCTTTTGGAGTGACAAAATGTTCTAAAATTAGATTAAGATGATGGTTGCACAGCTGTGAACATGCTAAAAACCACTGATGTGTATACTTTAGATGAGTGGTTTTTATAGCATGTAAATCTTATTTCGATAAAGCTATTAAACATACACACACATATATTTGACTTTTTATATATTCACCTGGTGTCCTGCAACCTTGTTAAACACACCAATTAGTTCTGGTAGCTTTTATGAAGATTCTTTGGGATTTTTAAATATATTGTCTGAGAATAAAGACAGCTGCATTCTTCCCATCTACTCTGCATGTCTTCTATGTCTTTTTCCTGGCTCACTGCACTGACTAGGGCCTCCATACATGTTGAGTAGAACTAGTGAGAGCAAAAGTAAGTGAGACCTCTGAAGTATACCACAGTTTTGTACAGGGAAAAGAGTGGAAAAGATCACTCTGGGAAGGTAAAGGCATGGGCACAGATGGGACCAGAGGGTGTGAGCTGCAGAGGGCCTGCCTGCCTGCTTGGCTAAGGAAAAGGAGTAGAGCCCACAGGGCCATGGCAAGCCAGGACCTGCACAGGGTAGGTAAGCCTGACAGTCTGGCAAGCAGGTCTACTTCCCAAAGCAGCCCCTTCAAATAGCTTTCCCAGCCTTTGCTGCCTCCTTCGGGTCTGAGCAGCATGCCTATGTGAACATGCTTAAACACACCCCTCCCTTCCCAAGTGACATGGGTAGAAGTTCTCTGCTGGGAGGGAAGCTCTCTCCAGAAAGGCAGAGTGGTTGAGGATCTGAGTAGCTGAGAAAGGAAGGTAGGGCTCAAACATTTTCAGTATGTGCACAGATGTGTGTGGTGGGGAAGGGGAGGTTAGGGGAAGGGCAGCGGGATGTGGCCAGGCTGTAAGCAGAGGTATGGGGGTGAAGCAGATGGATGACAAGGACAGTACTTGGCAAAGGAGACAAAGGGCATGGATGGAGAGGTGGAACTGATCAGGCTGTGGAGCCCAAACTCTGCCCTGCATTTGTACTGCTGGGCTCAAGGACAAGTTGTTTCTCCTAATCATATTATCCATCTCAAGCCTTGTGGACCCTGAGCTTTCATTTCTTTTCAGCCAGGAACCCTCTGGTTAAACAAAGCTTCCCCAGAACCCACAGTGGGGAACACACCAAAGCTGAATGGCTCTCACTACTGAGTACAGGACTCAGAGACCTGCTGCTCCCCTCCCAATAGCTTTCTACCACATCACAAGGAAACTATCTTGAGAACTGCCCAGGGCTGGCTTTAGAAGGCCCAATGCCTACAGCCAGGCTCTGGTCCTACCTTTCCCATTCTCCAGAGATAGTGGACTACCTAGCTCAGGGGACAAGGTGCTATTCTGGGCATCAACAGGCCCAGGAGTGAAAGGAGTCTTTCCACTGCTGGTGGGTTCATAGATCATCTGACTTCAGGGAAGCACTCTTCTGAGGCACAGCAATGCCCATTCCTGCCCAAGAGCTGGCTGATGAGGCTACCAGAGGCAATGGCTCTTCTCAGGCCTCCATACAGGAGGCCATAAGGCTCTGCAGCAGCACCTGCAACTACAGAAGGCCACAAAGGAAGGGGGTCCAGCTGAACAGCAAAGTGACAATTATCCCTCCAGGTCAGGCTCAGACTGTGCTTAGGGCCCCAGGCCTGCTCACCAGCTTCCCCTGCCTCAGGATCCTCATCCACGCGCCATACCAGTCACAGCCGTCCTCCCTGGATCCTTCCGATTGAGCACGGGTGCTCCCCACATGCGACACAGTAACTGACCACAATGGGGCAACCTGTGAGGAGAACGTGGCAATAATGCTGCGTATTTGTCATAACAGGTACTGCCACTTCCACCTCGAGACCAGGGACCTTGCTCACCAGCCCACAACGCTGAGAAATGGCTGAGCTGGGATTTGCACCCAAACCTTCAGGTTCCAAAACCCACATCTTCCCTGTCATGGATCCTGTCTCATTTGGTGTGGTAACCATCTGGGCAGTAAAATCGTCCCCAAACCCCAGACCCTTCACCAGAAGACAGTGGTTAGATGCACTGGTTTTAGGGCTCTGTGGACCACAGATCTCTGACTTGCAGTGACTCAGGAGGCCTCCAGGCCAGAAATGGGGGAAGGGCCAGATCGCAGCCCTAGAAGAAGACAGAGGCACTAGTGCCTCCTGCCTGAAGGCTGCAACTGCCTATCTTGGCTCTCCAGGGTGTCCCCACCTTCCCACCTCACCAGGCGGCCACGGCCAGCAGACCAGAACACACATTTCCACCCAGTGCCCACTGGAAAAGGGTTCCTAACGAAGAAGCCACACTTCTCACATACAAAGAACATGCATATGATCCAGACAGAAAGACAGGAGCCCTTCACTTTAGGCCACAGGCCTAAGTTCTCAGCTGGAATCCCCCAGGACAGGCTGTTCTGCTAAGTACCCTACCGCTGCAAGAAACCCAGACTTCCGCTCCAGGGGCCTGGGATGCCAGGGACAGAAGTGTGGCTCTCAATGGTGCTTGAGCAGCAAAGCTTTCCCTAAAGCCAAGCTCACCACTCACCACCTCCTGAG